GCTGAAGAGAAAGTGTACAACCACCATTCCTTAAGGTAAGCACAGATAATGCATCCTCAAATAATAGTTACTACCTCATAACAAGTGAGTTAGGGCAAATATATTTTTAATATCAAAGACTGATAGTTTTCTTCCCATATAGGTAACATGCTGCCCTGGAGTGAACGTGTAGCAATATGTCAACTAGGAAACGATAAAGCAACTGTTTGTAAGCTCTCTCTGCAAACCACCTGAATACACTGATGTGCTGTAAAACAGCAGATGCACTCTTTTCAGGAGTCCTTGGTGGCTCTCATTAGCCACAAACTGGAACTGTGCTCAAGAAGCAGATGTCAGAAAGAGAAAAGAGGGCAAAGACAGCCAGAGAAATAGTCCCCACATTCACATGGAGAGAAAAAAAAAAACAACAAACCAGACTGAGGGAAAACAAACAACATGACAATCAAAACTAACAAAAAACTCCTCCAAAACAACAACAACACCACCAAAACAAAACAAAAAACCCCACACAAACCACACAACAACAACAACAACAAAAACTCCAACTACATGGGATGCTAACTTAATTCCTGCAGAGAAGCTGACAACTGGGAAGAAGAGGCCATCTATGTTGAAGTTCTCAAACATTCCTTGGACTGGCTGACCATTTATCCGGAAAGAGATGCTGGGAGCACTCAGATCCAGACAGCAGCTAATAACGTCATCCGTTCTCAACAGATGTTGGTTGGGAGAATTCACTGTTCGTGCCACACAGCCTGTGGAAGGAAAGCAGATGCATTAAGCAAAACTTCTGACAACTGTACTGGTTTTCACTGCATCCTAAAAAAAAAGAAAGAAAGAAAGCATATCAGTAGAAAACAAACACGTTAATGTTCTTTGAGGAACACACAGTCACATCAAATGATCTAAGGGCCCTCTATGGCCTTAGGCTTTAAAAAAAATCTATGAGTTCTGCTTCTCCATTTAGAGTAATAATTGCAGGACTGCAGAAAAAAAATGTAAATTAGAAGTGATTCTGGTAAAGGCTTGGTCCAGAATAGAAATTTGGGGGTAGAAATTACTGTTGCTGTTCATTAATGCATCAAGCTCTGGTAATTTTAAAAATATCATTGCAGAGACTTAACAAGACGCAGCCTGGGATTGTGGAAGGAGGTAAGTGTTACATGAGAATGTCAATGAAGACAGAAATCTTTTCAAATCTACCAGCCACATCCACAATAGAGACTAATACATAAAAATTGTATATACAAAGGTGGTCTAACTATTTTAACTGGGCTGGATTAGTGACTTGAGAACCAGAAAAAACTGTTCATTTATTCTTTTGCAACATTTCTGATTATAAAGTTTCAGGTGGGTAGAAAGTATCTTTTGTTCCCTCACTAAAATGGACTCTAACTACAGAAGTTATTTCGGTTGGCTCATTTTATGGTTCTTCTGTAATAATACTTCATCTGACAAACTCAGTTATGACACTATTAATTATGCATTATTGTTTCAAAGTGATTCCCACTAAACATGAAAGGCAAAGTGGCAGCTGCCTTCCTAAGACACCATTCCAGTCAATACGTCACTATGTAATAACACAATCCATCACTATTTTGATTAGAAAAGTCTTTTGAAATGCAAAGCTGTATTCTTTTCTGAGTACCAAGCCACAATGCCTCAAAACTTCAAAGACGTTGAATGCTACACTCAGCTGCCTCAATCCAACATCTCTCGCCTGCTAAGGAGCTTTAGAGCGCTTGCTCGCATCTTCACAGCACCAGGATTGCTAATCCCCTGAGCCTAACCCAGTTCTAGTCACCTCTACACAGTTCAGCGCTGCTCAGTAACAACTCAAAACCAAAGGAAAAACATTTTCCTCAACAAGGTAAAACCACAAGAGAATTTTTTTTCAAGAAGCTTAGGACTGTCCATGTGCAGCACGACTCATTCCAAATGATACCTGGAAAGCTTTTCACAAAGGTTAAATCATGTGAACAAAATTAAGAAAAAGAGAACAAGCTTGCTTTCTTATTATTCTGATTTTGCTGAGCTAACCCAGTTTCAAGAGAGACTAAGAAACTTGCAGAATCAACAGTAAATACAAGTACTTTAGATACCCACTTCAGCTTCTTTAACACTAGAATCTGAGCCAGTAACCTTTGAAAGATGAATACCCGATCAAACACACCATACGCAAGCAATGAATACGATTCTGCAAGTCTTGCAACAGTCAATCTCAGTGTATGTAAATAGAACATCACTACAGACAAATACTTGGTTTTAAAATGTATGGCAAAAAGCATACTTAAAAATCTGTTCCACCTCTACAGTATTTCTAAACTTCTAAAGATCAATATTAAAAAACTATTTTAAAAAAATATATAAAACCAAAAAGAGAGTCCCATGAATTAAACCTCTCATGCTGTTCTTACACTATCTCAGAGGAATTAAAAATCCAGACAAATGTTTGCCAGACTTCATTTTTTGCAACTTCAAAGTTTTTAAATAAAATCTTTATAGTTACTACAAAAAAAAAAACCCTCAAAAGTAATTCCCAGACTAAAACAGAAATTATTGTTCTATGTGCATTAATTTGTATAAAACAATTTTTCAGTGTGCAATGTCAACTCCAAACATATTCAGCTATGGGGTACTGTTTCTGTAAACTCCTAGTGCCAACTGGAACATTGGATTCACTTTGCTGCTTTTGAAAACAAATTCACTGGAATTGCGAACAACATTCTAGTATCTAACAAAAAATCCAACAAAACCAAAAAAACCCAACTGAATAAAAACAAAGGAGAATACCTGACCACAGATGCAGACCATCGAAGCCGTAGGAGTACAAGTCATCGCCTACCCCATTTCCTCCCCACTCGGCTCCCCCTCCTGGGTATGGGGAGTAGCCCTCGGTAGAAGCCCAGCCCACTCGGAGATGAGTTGACTCTGCAGTCACGAAGGGCTCCAGGTGGTCCACCATCAGCTCATAGTACCACTTTCTGTACTGGGCAGATCCTTCACTTATTCCCAAGAACATGTTGGGTCGCATGCTTAAAAAGAAAGAATAAATGTGGTAATTAAAAACTTATCTCAAGAACATTTCATGCCTGTTTGGTGTTAGTAAAACAAGACAAGTAATTAATTTTCTTTATTTATTTATTTTGTGAAAAATGCTCTATACAGCTGAAGTAAAAAAGTGTTTTTTTCAGTAACTGAAACACTATCCTCACTCAGATACCAAGATTAATATTTTATATGTTTGAACATTTAAATCCTACAAACAAAAATGACAGCTATTAACCAGTTACCAACAGAAATGTAGTAAGGTTCACACTGCAGGTTTAATTTTACATAGCAAACTGTATTCTGTAACACTGATTATCCATTCCAGAGAACAACATTTACAAAGATTCAAAAGTAAAGAGTCAATGTGTTTCAAAATTCTCTTGTACCTCTTCCTTCTTTATTCCAAGTCCTGTATAACTCAGTAATTTGCAGTGGCTGTACCAATCCTTAGTGTCAGTCTGATGTTCCTACTGCTGCTGATTTGAAAGTAGTTCACAGGGCAAAACTATTGCTGTGCTTATTCAATATCTAGTTACAGAGCAATATGTAGAGTCATACATTGAAAGGTCATGAGGGTAAAACGGTAAAGAAAATTAGGCTTTCCTAATCTGTTTTTTGGGATAATACTGGATCTAGAATCTCATCCAAAACAATCTGTCTCCAGACAACCACTGCTGTGTCAGCTCTGCATTAAGCAAGCCATCCAATCTCGAATTAAAGCTGCAGAGTACAGAAGTATCCGAAGTCAATGCTAGGTATGTTTCCTCAATGGCTGGTTACACATATCATGAGAAATATTTCAGACTTCTAGGCTAAACATATCTAGCTTTCACATACCTCTACTGGACTGCATTATAACTTCTAGGGAAGACAGGAGAGGAAGGACAAGTCAGTGTAAAAGCAGACTTCAACTGATCTGATTGCTTATAAAATAACTTGTTTTATCACATAAGACTAAGGTTTTGGAAGTAAAACAGGTTTTCTGCAGTGGCTATTTCTTTTAACCACAACTTTTATTCTACTTTGTTCACAGCTATAGATTTTTTTCTTTTTCTTCTTACCTGCTCACATGGTTGACGAGACGTGTTTGTAAGAGCAGGTCTCTTCCTGGCAGGAGATTATCACAGATTAGATGCTGATTAGACCGCACAGCTACTCCATGACAAACACAGAGAGAACACAAAACATCCAAAACCTGAAAAGAAATAGATTCTTTACATCTTAAATATTTTCTCATGCTAAAGAGTTCATAATCACTGTGAGTTACTTCAGGCAAAATAACGCCGTATATCTTGTTACTGGAAGACATGCAAGGCTATCTAATTCATCCAACATAGCAGTCATATTTTACAACAATTCTGAAATTCTCTTAAGAATAGTAAGACATATTCTTCCTGCTGCCCTTGAGATAATCTAGTGTGTATCAATGTTTTCATAAAAAATAAGATAAGGTCCCCCTCTGTTCTTCAAACTGCTCATACACCTTTTAGGAAAAGTTTCATTGCTAATTATGAATATAGCATTAAATTATTTGAAATTGTAACTTCCATACAGAACAACGTGCTTGCATTGTTCACAAATGTTCACCTAAATATACTTGTCTCTTCTTTCCCCACCTTATGATTTCTTCCATGCTTGTCCAAAAGACAGATGATTGATTTAATGTGTCCTTCTTTAATAATGTTTAGAGCTTCTGGGCTTTCCACCAACACACAGTGTAAAACCTCTAAAATTCCTGAGGGAAAAAATGAAAAATTCTTCATTCAAATTGCATAAAAAATCATAACTGCACATAATACTTCCTAAGATATTGCTCAGCAACATGGAATAGTTTCAAAAATCAGTGTATATGATAAATAAAACCTAAACAGCACTGAAATGATACCACACAATGTAAGTGTGGTAACCACAACCTTGGAATTTTCACATTTGTGTAGGCAGATTCATAATCTTGTCCTAAAATAGTATACAGAGTTCATTCTCTAGTCCTAACCTTTTCAGTAACAGAAGCAGAAATCCTTTGAAGATGTAAACATTCAATAATAAATTACTGTTATCAATTAGACCCAGCTGCCACAGCAACTTCTTCAATTACTGCAGCGTCTGAACATTAATTATCAAACACGTGTTGTTCTAAGGGCAAATTCCCTCTATTTCAGAAAAAAACCTGCATACGAATGTACAATGTCAGCTTGGACAAATCTGCTTTTCGATTGCCTACTATGAAGGCAACTGGATCTTATCCAATTTATTGAAGTTGGTGAAGGCAGTAAGGTGGGAAGTGTGCGAATTTAAAGAAATCTCCCCAGCAGTATGATATGCAGGGTTTATGATAAAGATGAGAGAAAATTCATTCTCAATGACTAACAGACGAAAGGAAGCACATATTTTCAGGATATGTTGACTCCTCTAATGTCATACTGCAGAATACCAGAATAAAATGCAATCCCTTAAAAAATAACATTCAAAACCTGGTATTATTTGGTTCCAAAGATCTTCACTTGGAGGATATTATAATTTGTCCTATTCTATTTTTTAATACCCAGGTTTTAATGCCTTTAAAATTCTAGTAGGACTAGTTAATCCTATCTGGAATATATTTCAGACCAAAAAGATGAATCTAATCTTAATTTATGCATTGAAGAGCCAGCTGAGCATTTGCATTGCACTATTCACTCAGCTCCTGTGATGTCTCACTGCTCACTGCTCTGCTCTCAGACACATTTATACTTGGACATATCTTCATTTTCTTTCTTTTGCTTCAGTGAAGATCAGGAACTGAATCAATTTCTAATCTAATTTGCACAGTCAACTCACAATTGCTGTTTATACATTTAATGCCTTTATTCTGTTTTCATAACCTTTTTAGTTCAAAGATAAGCAAAAAAATGAAAATAGGAATTTTATTGATAATAGTTTATGGCATCAAAACTTTACTGCAACACCTTCAAGAAAACATCTCCAGGAGATGTAGCTGACAACTTCAATGTTGAAGGTAAACTTAACTGTGATGCTTCTTCCTCACAAATTCTCTACTTTAGAAAGTAAAATAATTATTTTAAGTGAATATATGCAACCAGGTAATCCTTATTTAAAAGGTGCATTGTATTTCTCTCCAGTATTTCACCCTATTGTAGACCTACCGCTGTAAAATAAAACACTGAATATCCTCACCACAATCGAGCCATATGAAGTTTAAAACCTGGCAAGAAAGCATCACATGTAAAAATCACATAAGCACATTTAGATACTAAAAGCTAAACCTACCATGCCACTCAAAATAAAACTACAACTGGAACCAATGTGAAAAATGTTACAAATACAAATCTCACTTTAGTAATATAATTTACTTTCTCATAAGAAGAACTTCATGATAATTAGACCAAACAAGCGTATTGTCAATTTTAAAGAATGAAAAACTGGTAGAATAGGTTAAAATACTAGAATGCATACCAGAAGAGGCTTCCAATCTTTCTAATCTGCTGATCAACCAGTCAAGAGATCCAGAAAACTGAGCACAGTTTTTACGATTCCCTCGAATCAGAGCCGCTATTGGAAAAGAGAGAGAGAGAGAAATCGTAATTTTAAGCCCATTTAAATTTTTAAAAATCTGTGTCTTGCCTCTTCAGGAAGGATACAAAAAGATAGATTCTTAATCTTTAATTATGGATGTTCTTGATTTAAATTTAAATTTTAATAACGTGAATGATGGTTAGATTTAAGCATAAGAAATAACCCTGACATAAAGCTGACCTTTAAGGTTTTTGAATCATTTTGGCTTCACAATCATCTCTGCAATCCCTGCAAAATGCTCTACATGACATAGCCAAGACTGACACTACAGAAGTCAGCTGCTACTGTAGAAACAAATTTCTGTAAAACTGCATTCTTATAATCAGAGGAAACACTGAAAGGGCAGAATACGCAGCCAACAACATAGTTGATGAATTGTAAATTATTCTCTATTCTTGGCCTGAAACATATGTGTTTGCACATATGCGTGCACACCACCTCTCGGAGAAGCAGCTGTTCTACTATAAAACAAAAAAATAAGAGTGAGGCACTATCATTTCTGTTTGGTGTGTGGAACGGTGCAAACAGCTTTTCTAAAGATTGTTTTCCAATTCTGTCACCAAAATATTTCAACCTGAAATTTCCATGGTTATTTTCAGCAGCAGAGACTGCTGGTCCTGCTAAGAGGCAATGGCCTCTTAAAAATCTATGTTTTATTGCTGCAGAAATTCCTTATATAATATTGCAACTGTGGTTTTATGCTGTTTCATTTATAAGATGTTAAAATTACAGACTTGTGACATAAATATGATCTGAAACTGTATCTGCAGAGGGGAAAAGCAATCTTGGAGTCAGTTGCAGAGAAGTTGAAGCACTTACAGTTTTGTATGAGGAAAAAGACCAAAATCCAATAGCTTCATAACCAAAACCAAGGCAATGACAAATAACCCCAAACCAACCAACCAACTCCCAAAAAACCAAACCAAAACCCAACCCCTAACAAGCAAAACAAACAAAAAACATTATCTTGCTCTATTATATATCAAATCTATACTCCGAAATTTTACATAGTTAATCAATCATGACTATAGTTATTTGAAAATACTTGGAAATCATAAGAGGAGTAGCATCTTGTTAAAAGATATCAATTAGAACTAAGAAATACCTGCTTCTGCAAGTGATTTTTTTATTGATTATATGTAAGCCACATAATCTCACCATGTCTCAGGTATGAACATAAAATAAAGGCAAGTAATAGTTCAGTGCTTCATGTGACATCAATAAATTTAACTTCATTAACCACAATAAGACACAGATGGTTCCATAAATGCAGGGAAGCAGAAATTTGTGAAAGGTTAGGATTCAAGGGTTAAAGCTGTGTGTTAAATGATGTGCACAGCCACTTAACACTGAAAACAAAAAATACTATTGAAGTTCTTTTTTTGCCCACTGCTCTGATCAAGACTAGCATCCAGCTTTAAAGAAATAAAAACCAAACCTAGGATGTGGTCAGTCAGATAAAGTCACATCATTACATATACTCCTGTGCATCTTTGGCGATACGGAAGGATGTATTGATTGTATGTGTTTGTATGTGTTTGTAACAGAGGAAGGACAGGTGCCTTAGCAGATATATGGCAACCATTTTAAATTGGAAAAAGGCAGAGTTAGATAGGATATATGGAAGGAATTCTATCACAAGGGTGGTTGGGCTAGAGGACCTCTGAAGGGCTAGAGGACCTCTGAAGGTCTCTTGTGACTCAAACGTTCCATGATTTTCACATGTGACAGTTTTCAGTCTCAACTCAAAGTCTGTATTCTCATCACAGAGAAATACATCATGATGACAACAACATGACAAAAGCCATGAATTGCAGCATCACAGTTTACTTTTATTTATGTGCAGACTCAAAGTACTGTTTGCTGAAGCAAGACCGCACAAACAAGAGCTATTTGTCACCCTTGCAATTACCGTCCAGCTCCAGCATCAGAGCGATGTACAAATGCACTACAGCCAGGTGGAAGCCGAGCTTCATAAGCGTTCACTGCCAGAAGATAATGCAGTTAGGGGAGCAGAGGGACACGGAGACTGGAAGCCAAAACCAGCCTGTGCACTCTTCTTCTCACTACAAGTGCATGGAAACAATGCTTGGTATGGCATCTTTTGGCCTCGGCCATTGGGACAAACAGACTTATACAGAAATGGTTCAGCAATCAAGCCACCGCTTCCTTTGGTCTGCTTGAGTTGTGCTTAATGCAACAAGAGATAAAACAAACTGAACTGTTACAAAAACTTCACCACTACCATACATCTATGAATAATCCAAAGACATTTATACTCCATAATCTATGCTCTGAAAGGTTATCTGTTGATTTTATTGAGACATTTACTCTCTGCACCTCGTCTAGATACTTTTAAAAGTTTATAATTCCTGTTGTAACTTCTTTAATTGATTCTTCAGATCTCAGCTACCATTAATATACATTAAATAATAACCTTTAAAAAAAACCTGAAGTAGATTCACTTCTTTTAGTGGGCATACATGTGCTGAAAGATAGATTAAGATGTAAACATTTTGCCAGTGTTCCTTCTAGATGATCTTTTTATATCAGGGTTGGAAAAGCAGACATCCCTAAAAATCACCTTACATAATGTCACATTCTCAAGCATTCATTGACTTATTAGAGTGGGTAAAGAGAGAAGCAGAGGGAGGGAAAACTTAACAGTAATACCAGTGCGATGAGAAGCTCACATTAAGATTTACTATTGTTTTCACCAATTATTTTCATGCATCATTTAATATTTTACATGTTAAACAGTTTCTACTCTTTCTGACTGCCAATGATTGAGCAACTCAGATTAAACAATCTTGCTTGCAAGCATGAAATACAGGTAAAACAGCAAGACGAATTTCCTTAATTTCCTACCACTATAAAACTCATAGAAATAAAAAATATTAAAATTACCTTACAATGTTCATAAATTCTAGCAATCCAATGTTAAGAAATGCCACATCTGGTCACCCTAACCTGTGCATATGGACTATGCCACAATCTTCAACTACGTGGAGGTAGCAGGTCCTAGCAGCTCCTCAACCAGAACCACAGACACATAAACCAGCCTGTACCGAAGCAGCCACGGTTCACCTTGCTCCTTCCTTGATTTCTTGGAACACAGGAGGAGGTTTCTGGTTTCCTCAATGATATTTACTGTGTCAACTTCTATTTCCTCTGACAGAAAAGGTAGTGGGCCAGACAGAAGCACCTCCTTGGTTTTATCAAGGACCACACACCATGTGCTGGTTATCCTTTTCCCCTCCCTCAAGATCATTTCTTCTTCAAGAGTACAGTATGACAGACCTACTTTGACTATGAAAAAGTTTTTTAATAGTACTATACACAGAACTCCTGTCTCAGTTGCCTCACTTTGCTGTTGGGTAGTAAGGAGAATTTATATGCAATGAGGCATGACATTAAAATTTCATTTTCTGTGCCTCTGAATTCAGAGGAAGGCAAGTTTTCAGCACGCCTTACACACACCAAATACTGCTGAATATTCTGAAAAAAGGTCAGATCCCACAGCTCCTAATTTGGGAACTAGCACTGCTAGAGTATTTTTACCTAAATTTCTCTCTGTATCTGTTCCAGCAGCTAATAACTTCTATTTGCCTTACTACAGAAGTTTCCAACAGTACACTTATTAATAGTTATAATTATTCAGATCACTAATCATAAATGGCACAAAAGAACGCCAAGATGATAGCTCTGTTTTCCAAAGATGAATTAAAAGGCTCACAATAAATAAGGTTCAATGCCACACACTGAATAACAAAGCGAAAATTAGGTATTAGTAATAATCAAGCACTAAATAAGGAATGGGGTCTATAGAAAAACTAGTATGTGATCATGTTTCCCAACACATACCCACAAAAGAGCCATACCACACACACTGACTTCATCCAGGCACATCCTAACAGAAAGCACACGGCACAGGCACGCGTGTGCAGCCTGCAAAAAGGTTCACTCCACAGGGGTCACATCACCGTCCCCAGTCACCTAAGGTCAGTAATAAAATTAATGTTTAGGGTTACTTATGGCAATGAGAACATCTGATGACAGAGGAGCAATGAATTGGTCTCTTAGGAAGTTTCCTTTTGTGGACAATTAACAGCTTGGCAGGAGTGAACACGCAGGCAGCTATAGCAGTGGACTAATTACCCTACATAGTCATAGTAGGACATAAATAAAAATTGGTGGACAAAGAAATCAGGCAATTAAATGCTACTACCTAAATAGAAATTTTACCAGGACACCAATCATTAGATACTTACAGAGCATGTTATGGGATTTTTAGTGACTGCAGGTGGACAAGACCTTTGCACCTTTGCAGGGGACACTGTGTCACTGGTCACTAGCGACCAATAACAGAGGTCTTGTTTATAGAAACTTTAGATTTATGTTGCAGTCTTGCAGCCAGACAAGTGAAAAATAATACACTTCTGCACAACTGACCACAACGTCACAGCTTCTTAACACAGGAATGACATTTTCACATAGAACTTTTTTCACACAGTTTTGGGTAGTATGCAAGATACATCAGCAATACAATGATATGAAAAAGCAATCATTCATTTAATTGAAGTCAGAAACATATCAATTATCATATTAGCTTATTAGAAAAATCACATTAGTTGAGTGTTTTCAGTGTATTTTATTCCTAACCACAGTCAAAGACACAGAAATGCAAAAATCTTGTTTAATTTGTATCCTAAATTTCTACACAGTGGAAAGCCGCCTATACTACAACAGGTATGTGGGTTTCTTTTTTTTTAATATGAGTATTATTTTGAGCTAAAACAATCCAAGTAACACATAATATGTCTTACCTAGTAATTCATACAAAGAATTCAGAATAGATTTCCACGCTTCTCCAGCTTCCTTCCCAGCTACATCTGCAAAATGAGCTGCACTGCTGTATACATTCAAGCGATCGATACATTCAAGAACAAGGTTGATCATACCCTAAAAAATGAAAAGGCTCAGATTTTAAGAGAAAAAAAAAAGTATTGTTTAGGTGCAAACATATAAGACTATCAGAAACCTAAGAAAAACGATGAAAGGCAGGATATGCAAAACCCAAGAACATATACACGAAGTCAGACAAGTGGAGTCGAAGAAGTAATCTCTATGGAAAAATTTTTCTTGACTATAATAATAAAAATATACCATTTAGGATGGCCAAAATAAAACAAAAAATAAACAGTATGCCAGAAATAATTTTAGGCAAGTTTCTATTCTAGAAGGCATTTAGGCATCGGACTAATTATAGGCAACTATCACAACCCTAGAAGTAATAGACAATTCTAAACGAGATAATTAACACACACCTGTTAAAACAAAACAAGCTTTTGCATCGAGAGGTTAAATATAACAGAAGAAACTAATTCACACATAAGAAGTAAATTATGTTTAGAATTCTGGACACAAGGCCATATCAATATCTATTTTTTTAAAAAAAGGAAAATGAAGCATTTAAATATACAAGAAAATCAACAGATTTGAAGAGATTATATAAAAATAGCAAATAATTTGACTCTTCACAGAATCACAGAATCTCAGGAGTTGGAAGGGACCTCAAAAGATCATTCAGTCCAACCTCCCTGCCAGAGCAAGATCACTTAAACTAGGTCACACAGGAACATGTCCAGGTTGGTTTTGAATGTGTCCAGAGAAGGAGACTCCACAACCTCTCTGGGCAGCCTGGTCCAGTGCTCTGTCACCCTCACAGTAAAAAAGTTTTTCCTCATGTTCACATGGAACCTCCTATGTTCCAGCTTGCACCCATTGCCCCTTGTCCTGTCATTGGACATCAGAGAGAAGAGCCTGGCTCCTTCCTCCTGACACTCGCCCTTTACAAATTTATAAACATGAATGAGGTCACCCCTCAGTCTCCTCTTCTCCAAGCTAAAGAGACCCAGCTCCCTCAGCCGCTCCTCATAAGGGAGATGCTCCACTCCCTCCATCATCTTTGTGGCTCTGCACTGGACTCTTTCAAGCAGTTCCCTGTCCTTCTTGAACTGAAGGGCCCAGAATTGAACACAATATTCCAGATGCGGTCTCACCAGGGCAGAGTAGAGGGGAAGGAGAACCTCTCTCGACCTACTAACCACTCCCCTTCTGATACACCCCAGGATGCCATTTGCCTTCTTGGCCACAAGGGCACATTGCTGGCTCAAAACTCTTGACTCTTACAGGACAAAAAAACCACTGCTAACATAATCCAGATAAGACAGTGCTAGAGACACTGCAAGAGGGTACTTGCAGACACGGTGGTGGAAAACGTGGAGTAAAGTGGAGCAGTACCTCTTCCTGGAAGAGGTTCTGGCGGTTCTTCAGCGCCCGGAGCCGGTTCTGCTTGTCCTCATGCTCCAGCTGCTCCCCAGGGAGGTGGAAGTAGCCAATCAGGTCCTGGAGGCTCAGGCTGACTGACTCGATGGGCAAATCAATGGTGGAAGACTTCACTTTCTTGCTGAGAACATCAAGGCCTCTACAGTAAAATGTAAATTAATCTTTATTGTGAGCACATTATCTGAAGTGCCATTTTTGTAGCAACTTTGTAGGAAAGAACAGGAGCACAGTTATGATAATAATTTTGTTCCTCTCCAATTCAGCTTTTCCTTCTTGGAGTAACTTCCTGTCAAAACGAAATTGTTAAATGCTGCCTTGGTCTCCCTGTGCACTCTGCAAAGATCTCTACTGTAATTTAGCAGTACCCTGATTTGTGAAACCTTATAATTAAATTGTCTTTCCTTATCTTTTATGTCACTCTTAGAAGCTTCTAAGAAAATGTGTTATTTACAAAGTGACCTAGCCCTTGCATTTCTTTTGTACTCTAAATGTCATACAGCAGATAATTCTCCTGATAGGCATTTTTCTCTATGATGTTATTTATTTAAGTACCTGGGTAAATGTTTTTCAACAAATTGACATGTTTAGGTCTTCGGCTGTGCATTGATTTAGGACATGGGTGTTTCAGGTCACCACCTCTCACACTGTCTTCTCTTCTAAAAAATAAGCTCCTCTGAAATTCTTGTCATTCCATAAAGCCCTGCAACATATCAGCTTTTTTCTAACGTCACCTACGCTGACAAGAGAGGCCTTGCATCCATTACTGAAGTCATAAAGATCTGTGAGCTGGCATTTTACCAGTGTTATTTAAGAGAATATTTGGAGTAGGAAGATAAATGCATATTGCATAAATCAAGCAGTATTTTTAAATTGTTAAAATACTATAAAATAAAATATTTTCTATTTTCCAAAATATTAAAGAAACAAGTAGTATTAAAAGTGTAATGGGAGGGTAGAAAGAAGGTGTAATTTCATACTTTTAAGGAAAACATTTTCTTAAGACTATGAACTTCTTCAGCGTATTTGTGTCTCATACAAGTTTGTAGTTATGCAACTACCTTCCAGGTTTTTCAAGAAAGAGTGCTTTTAAAAACCATACTTAGAAAAGAAACAGCTAAATGATGCACTTCATTACTTCAAGCAAACTTTGTCAAGAAAAATTCTCTTTCATGCATTGTTTGCATTTTCAGTACATTTATGCATTTAAATCAAGATTGAACAATGAAATAATATTAGAAGACGGAGAAAAGAAACTGGCCAATACTTCTCACGGTACATCTCTGCTGCTAACACAACGCACTGGCACAAAATCTGGTCTGAGAAGTATTCCTCTCTTCCCTGTTGTGAAAAAGGGCACTTTGAATAAAAAGAAAAAAAAAAATCTAACAAAAATAAGAGGAAGAAAGAAAAGAGATTAAAAGATACTTTTAAAAGCACACCTTATAAACCTGTTGAAAAGGAAGACTGTACTGCGGATGACCCGTGCTGTACGGGATTCTTCATTCTGAGATCTGGACAACGTTAAACCATCATCCATGTGACCCTCATGGTGCATTATTGCCTGCAATATAAACAGCAGTCACTGCAAAATGAAACATTATTCACAAATGAGAAGTATGAAAACTCACATAGCAAGGCAAGCTATTCAAGTTATATACCAAAAAAAAGAAAGAAAAATAGTTTAATTAAAATCAGATAATTCCATGTTTTACTTCCTTGTGTACAAGGACACAATTGCACTGACCCAGCAGGTTCAGCTATAATAATCTCAAACCTACAGCTTCTATAAACAACATCCTTTTAAAAAACAGTAAAAATCAAAGTCTAAGGGTTTATGTTCATTGTTTGTTTTTGTCAACCTTAAAAATAGTTCTTTTACGTAGCAGCAGATCCCTAAAGCACAAAACAAGTATTCCTTACTGGTCCTCATTCCCAAGGATGTTACTGGCCTTCTTTTCTGACTGCGCCTTGAGTCACTACTGATAATTTACAGTTTTTCATGTTTAGTTAGCATGGCTCTGAAGGTATTCAATCCAATTTACATAAATATTTTAAATTATTTTAGGTAACAATGTTTTTTTCATACACACATGCACAAACTATTTATATTATATACATTACTATATTATTCATTAATGTAACTTATTTTGCATTATTTTAGAATTATTTAAGCTTGCTGAGAATTAATTTCCTCCAAAGTTATACATTTATGATAAATACTGACACAAATGTAGCTTCTGGAAGATGTGTTAAGTCATAAAAGAATCTTTTTCCTACTTTATTATGCTGAGTTAGCATGCTGCTTGGCTGTGGTTATTCTTTAAAAGAAGAAATCCCTCAGGGCTCAAGACCCGAGCATCCCAAGCCAAAAGGCAATATGCTCCCACGTGGAAAGAAGAGATTTTGAACTAAAAGCCTCCACAAGCCAAACTACAGCATATTGAAGTAAGGCATTTTAGCCTATTCTATAGGCTATTACTAATATTTTAATTTTCCCTCAAACATATCCAAGATTTATCAGTGTTTGTGGGTTAATATCTATAGGCTAACAGGCGTGCTTTGTTCAGCTTTCAGTTTAAGAATTCAGTACAGCGTGTAATTTCTCAATATGTGACAAAAAACCCCAAAACATTTCACAATGAAACAAACGTTTAAATATTTGAAACCTAGAAAGCAGCTGTCTGCTGTACTTCCCTTCACTGCCCCCCTCCTCTCTATCAGCCAGGGATTGAAGGAGACGCATTCCCGTTTCCAGCCTTACCTTCCGCTGCACAGAGCCCATCCGCACTGACTTGGCGTCGGCAGACTGGTACGTGAGCCATAAACCAGTATCGACGTGTTGGATGAAGCAGATGGAATCCCCGTATTTTATTTCAGGTGCTCCCATCCCATCCACCTCTTTTCTTGTCCCTATGTCCAACTTTTCCTGAAGAAGAAAAAAATATACACAAGAACAATAACCAACATGTTAGTATTTGCAAAAATACTGAATGCTAGGCAATTGTCCAGAACAGGATCTAATGGGAAATTTTAGATGCTTCTTTAATGAAAAGAAGAAAAACTGGCAAAAGTGTAACTTCTAGTTAAATATTTAGGAGAAAGATGGAGAGAGAGATCCCATCCATACAAACATCTGGCTTAGTACACTAGGAAATTGCAGGTGCATTCATTTCACCTGCCCAGAACTAGGATAATAACTGACTGTACATGTCATTAATGAAACATAAAAGCTTACAGACCACTACCAAACACATTGACTCTCCTAGCTCAACCAGACATTAACCTCCAGCAGCTTTTTCTGGAGGATTTTTTTTTTCTACCCCAGCATGGAGAAGATGAGACCTCCTTACAATTTATTTCTGAGTGTCCCAGAGAGATGGCCTTTAACCTGTCACTGCCCACTGCTGCCCAACGATCAGCTCGGTAATTCCCAAGAAAAGAAATCCGTTTCTGTGCCTTTGGGAGCAGCCTGTTGCCATGACATAGAAGAAGAACGGCACAACCATGCATCAGTCCGGCTAGTGTCCTGTATAGACAGCAGCTGTTTCTGGACAAGAAATGTAGTATCACAAACAATATTAAAGTTTGTAATTGTAATTTGACGTGTTCCCCAATACCTGGCTCTTCTAAGAACCAACTCCTTCTCCACAGACACCAGTTTGTAAGAGAAACAGCCTACACACTCTGGTTCATGGCAGATCACCTATTTAACCTCTTCAAAAGCAGACGGATCATGTACCTCTAAACACATTACAAAGGATCAGTATGATCTGCATAGCAAAATGATCGGCAGTAGAGGACAAGCCACGACCTTCAGTTTCTCAGAGTAAAGTTACAAATAACGAGACAAAAACTTCTACATGGTCCATCCTACTAAAACCAGGAAAGACCAAGAGAACAATTACACTACACACATGCCTTGACAATCTGGGGAGACAGCTTCCCAGTAAAAGACCAGGTTTTGAAATGAACAGAAAACAATAAGTTACTAAAAGATTTTTAAAAGTATTAATTAAGTTAAGGGAGATGTCATGTAAGTAGATTTTCACCCTACAATTATGCATGCATTTTGAAGCACTTGAAAAAATATTAAGTAAATTAAAACTCAGGTGAAATTCTTATTATTACTTTTCATTACATTAAGCTTCCAGATATAATCTATTCATCAACACAGATTATTAAACTGTTTCTGGGTATAGATGTTAATTTCACTATCTTGTAAATGACAATTCCTTAAGTGCCAAAATTCTTCTTAAAATCGTGTCCATTGATAAATGGCAATAATTGATTTATTAATACATCTGATGCCAATTAATGAGTTATTGTGCACTTCTATTTTATCCTTAATTCATTATTTTGTTCATGTAATTTCTCTAAATGTTGTGTCCAATTCTTTCAAAAACTAGCATAAATAAACTGAAAGTAGGAACAGTCGGCAATTAAAAAGCTACTTCTAATAGGACACTGCACACAAATGATGATACAGGAAAATATAAATTAGGTCTCGCTGTTGTATGAAGAAATGACAGTCTGATTACAAGCTCCGCTCTTTTGAATTTTCTTCATAAATAAAAGACACTGTGAACCTGTGAATATATTGTGCTTCTACATTGTAAGATTTTTTTTTCCAAGTCTTCCGCCTTACAATCAACTTCTTAAGTTATGAATAAATGAATTCACAAATTTTCCTCATAAAGCACTGTCGATAGCATGAAGGATTATTAAATTATTATTCCATATTTTTCATAAGGGGGTTGACATTGCAATCTTGATTTCAATTAGAATTAACGTTAATTTTACTTCGCGTAAAAATTGTCTCCATGTCATCACTTAATAACTGCATATTGGCACAGACATTACGTGGTGCAAGTTTCCAGGCCACTACACTCGCACCCTACGCTATTGCTACATAACCATCTGCTAATTCTTCCCACCGCAGATTTACAAAGAAAAGCCCTTTTCAGCTTTATTTGCAGGCTGGGCCCATTCAGACCATCAACTTCTACACGACAAAGGTGAAAAGCCTTGATTCCTTCCATGGGAACAAACTGAAACCACTGGCGTTTGCAGCAGTCTGTGCAGGAATGTAAAAAAACAAGAATGGAAACGAACAGGTTCTCTGTTCATTCTGGCTGGAACCCGCCACATTTTCTCCAGAAGGACATGCTCTTTATAAACTGTTCTTATTCCCTGCACCCAAGAACAGAAGCCCATCCAAGAATACATGCCCATCCAAGAACACAAGACAATCTTCCCACATTTTTTGTGGGCTAAATGGACAAAATAATTTTAAAAGCTTTTATCTTAATGTGGGAAAAAAATATTCTATGAAGCCTCGTCTTAAATGTGTTATTTTAGTCTTATACTTCAGTTTAGTTCCCTATGACATTCTGGAACAGATTCCCAGGATTAAGGCTTGTTCTATCCATGCCACTTCATCATCTGACCCACTACTTTCTAGTAGTGAAAGGAAGAACTATGACTGTGGCAAAAAAGGACTAAAACTGCTGTTAGAAAGATATAGCCTTCTGGCACACTGCCACTAATAATGCTCTGTATCCAGCAGCAAAGATAAGGGGCTGCCTTTTATCTAGGAATAATTATTTTGGGCTAAATAAATGTGACAACACAACCAAAAGGTTGGTGTCCAAACATGCACGGAGGAAAAGAGCCCCCAAAGCTGCTTACCTTCTCTCCAGAAGCTTTTCTAGGACTGCTAAAATTTTGAAATATATATTTAATGTTTTTTTCCAGAGAGGAAGGCATCTAAAAATTTTGATGCTTGCATCCTAATAAAGTGAAACACGATACTCCCTCTTAAGGAGTCCTAAGCTAAGAGACCAGAGAGCAAAACATATATTCCTCCCATGTGGCATCTCCGTAATTCCTTCCAAATAAGTCTTTAGCTAAAATTAATGTTGATATCCACAAAAGTAAAAGACAATATGATCTCCCAAACCTCCAATTTCTCTGAAAATTCATATTTAAATATCAGTAAGATTATATGTCACATGCTGATGAGCTTATAGACCCCTCTTAAAATATTCTCAGTTACTTCAAGAATTGACTACCAGAACACATTTCTACATGCCCCAAAGCCTTTTTTCTCTCTGCTCAGTACAGAATAGGTTTGGTCACTTAACAGCTAAACCAAAACATAACAACTTTTTATTTTGAATATGGTAGAACAAAGCCACTTCAAAATATAAATGTTCAAAATATTTCCAAATAAGACTTCCAAGCTCGGGATGAAAAAAACAAGTGAAGAAACTTCAAATACACGGTCTATTCTCCAAAACACATCTGCATATGCTGTTTAGGGAACAGAGAGGAACACACTTCTCCATATCAAGAAAAGATATTCTCTGTATTGCTCACAATTCTTGCCTTCAAGTATTTTTTGCACTAATTAATCCATGTCACTCTTTTTGGAATCACCCCAACTAAAGACTTCAACTGGAGAATCAGTGGATGAATTATTTTAACCTTCTTGCTTCAAAGGAGAATAACTGCTGAGATCTGTAGGAACTGTAACAGGCACTCCCCAGTATAATTGCATTGCATTCTCCTAAAATATGTAAATATTTCTATGGCTTCTCTAATTGGCTTAAAAAAATACATTGTCTGAGGATCAAAACAATCACCTGAATTGAAGTCGTTGTTATCAGAGTGCAAAAGTCTACATACTTGCTTTCAGGTATATATTCATTTCTTATCTTCACAAGCAGACAAGTAATTAAAAATATATAAAGTACACATTACAGAGAAGTTACTGGATAATTCTGATTATTATTACCATATATTTCAGAATTTTTTTTTTTTAGAAAACAACCTTGTTGGAAAATTTTCAGCAAAATCATGCTGCAGGTGAAAAGTATGAGAAATCAGAGTATTTAAGAATTTAGCGTAGTACAATTTTTAACTGTTTACTCACAGTACAAAGCACTGTTCTGAACTTGAAATGCTTAAGTGTCAAATGAAAATTCAAACTATGGTAACTTAAAATTAGACCACAATAAAGCACCTAATGAAAAAAAATCTTGATTTTTCAATTTGATTTACGTAATTCACAATGCTATAATTTTTTCCTATCTAAGACAACAGACTTAAGCAGTAAAGTACCAGGGAAGTTCATCAGAAAAGCAAAAAAGAAACAAGAAAACTGTCCAAAAGTGAGCAAGCAGAAAAAAAAAAACCAAACAAACAAACAAAGAAAAACCCCCCAACCAAACAAAACAATCCCACAAAAACAAATGCACAAGCAGCATTACCCAAAGAAAGTATGAAAAAGGAAGCTTTCTAAATATAAATTATACTGAGGTTTGGGGAGGGGTTTTGTAATCAGTGAAAAGGTAGAAGAGTTTGATAATTCATGCAATAGGAAATATCTAAATCTTTCTTACTAAGGAGATGGGAATTACTACCAGTTACATTAATGCTGCAGTGATCCCCTACCTTGGAAGAACGAAAACAGAATGCCGTAGATTTTACATCCGCTTTCTCTTTTTCTGCAAGAAGAAGACTCTTGTCATCCAGGAGACTTAAATATTTTCCCGTTGTTATATGTCTTAGTCTGAATGGCTGTCCCCATCTAATGTGGCTGCCACTCCACCTAAGGAAGTTCATAGGAAACATTCGGTTTTTTAAACAAAACACAGCCTACTGGTAAAAATATTTTAAAGAACATTATATTGTCAACTAGTTGGTGAAAGGATAAAATTCTAAATGTTGGATTATCAGCAAGAAAATGGCTATTTTGTGGTTATCTCCTATAAAACCATTCTAATAAATAATCTTAACATGTTCCTTTGCAGAGGCTGCCTTGGTTTCAACTGAATTTCTCCTGGGAGAGACCCAGGCCGCCTACAGGAAAGGCAGCTTCTGCCATATGTGGAGCTGGGATCTGTCAGTTCCCTCACCACGTTCAGCTACAGCAGCTGGCTCACTGCCTCTCCCGCAGCACTCACCGCCAGCAGCCACCACACTTCAAATGGTGTGCAAAAAGTTACATAGTTACATCAGCATATACATTAAAATCCTCATAAAATAAATCTTAAAATTATTAACCAAAGATGGGCCTAGATTCTTCACATTCTGCAGGAGGAAATAAAGGAGGGAAGGCAAAGATTTTCTGTCTAAGCTCCTCAAGAACTCCTTCATTTGAAATACTGGGTGCAGGTTTCCAACTTCTCGCCTTAAACTGCAAAGTCTCCTCTTCTCCCCATGTAACTTCTAAGGGTAACCTTGCGTAGGGGTACTGGAGGGCGCACTTCACAGAGCCTTTCCACAAGGCTCCTCAAATATTCCCAAGACTGGAGAAGCGCCACAGCTGGTATGGTTTCCTGCATCTTCACAAAACGTTCTTCAGCCTCATTATCTTCAAAAGTTTACATTTCAAATGTATGTGAACACTGCTTCTTGGAGGGGAAATAATGCTTCTGCAAACAACAGTAACTCTCTGTGCTCACTGTTGCTTGAAATAGCTTGGAATTATCAACAATTATCATTGTTCATGTAATATCAATGAAATACACAAAGACGTTCCCTTGAACTCACTCTGATTACAAACTTACTCTCATATCAGAATTCTGTATTGCTGCTTCTTCTCACTTGCATTTAAAGTAATGCCAGGTACAACATTTAAAAGCATAAAATGCTTTTATACATGTTTTGTATACATTCATGGACCAGTCTGGAAATCCCTATCGTCAGCATTTACACAGATTTAAGTTGTTTTCATTTTCCCAGTCACACACATGCAGCAGACGAAAGCACTTACTTGTGCAATGCAAATACTTGTTTGTTTAAGCATGTCCTGAAGAGCTGCCTATACTCTATGCAAAGTATGCAGAACTGAACTTGGCAGGCATTTTTAAAATGCAGGAGCAATCCCTGGCTCCTGTTTTATAACAGGATTTTTTACACTTCAGTAATTAAACTTCCAAACCTTTTCAGTTATCAGTTTTAAAGAGGCCAAAAGAATGAAGAGGTTTTCCCCTCAACTATTTTCTTTCATAAACTTAAATAGTCTCTTCTGCTTAAGTCGAGGGGAGGAAAGAAACTTGGAAGCTTTTTATCTCAGAAATGCATTTCTGCTTTGTCTGCTCCACAGCACAGCCAGTGCACTCCCAGAGCACACCAGTAACTGTTCTGGCACAGCTTCTGCTTCTCACTTAAATGAAATGTCCAGGCGTGACTCTCAGCTCCCATGCTGCCGGGCCTAGTAACACGTCAGCTTTGCACCTTTCATATTACAGGCTGTGTCGGCGAGCTGCCTTTTCTTGAGCTTGATTCAATTTTCACTTGGACCCAAGAGCTACGGACCGTAAGAAAAAGCAACTAATACATGTAGTGCAATTGAGCCATGCTCCTAGTCCTGCAGGAGAGGAAAAAGGACAATTTATGTGCACTTCCACGAAAAGCAGAAACTATCTGTGAATTTTCTGATATTTCTGTGCCATTTCTGACTTCTAAAAATTCTTTTCTGCAATGTGAGAATGAGATCCCTGTCACTCTTTGGGAGAGAAGGCAGTGCTGACTCACTGTCCCATGGCAGGGCACTGTTTGTTCAAGCTTGCCACCAACACAGGACATTCAGGAATAATGACTCCTTTGGTATCATTTAAAATTATCAGAATTAATATTATAACTGCAGTCCTTCTGGGAAGGACTAGAACTGATGGAGGGCTTGAGGCATGCATAACCTAAGTTACAAATCGAAGTATTTGCATGAATAGTCATGTGCTGGCAATTCAGCAAGGAATGTCTGTAGCTACTGGAGTATCCTACAGGAAAACAGAGAGGTGAAGGACTTGTGGGAGAGAGCATTATCATTGGGATTTTATTTTTTGGGTTTTTTTCCTAGTAAGAAAGTGATAGTCCTTAAAAAGAAAGATCACTGCTGCCTTTGCTTGGTTGTTTTGGGAGTTCTCACTATTTCTCCTAGTCATGTATGTTCAAATGTTTACACATCAAAAGTTTGTACCCAATGCCTGTCAAAGCACGGTCTATGACAGCTGGAACAAAAACCTGTAGTTTCCCAAATTCCCACATTGCTCCAGTGCCAATGCTTATTAGGGAAGTACATGCAGTGAGGAGAATAAAAAGAGATGCTTCCACAGTACCTTTGTTGGCGCTTAAGCTCTCTCAAGGTCAATTTTAGTCCAAAGGAAAAACCTCACTGCCCTACCCATTAAGATTTATTTTATTAAATAAAATGCACATGCAGAAAATGGCATCACTAGAGTGTAACCTTTCCCTAAGCTGTCCTGGTTTAATCTCTTAAAAGCAATCAATTATTAGTCACTAGAAATTTTATCACAAGAACATACTGTAATAGAATTTAAGTGACATTTCACAGTGCAGCTACTTGAACAAAGAAGGCACAATTCCTTACTGTCATTCCTACACTCATGCAAGGCAGCATTTTTTCTGTTAATTTTAGCCTTTAAGGACACACAAATGGCTCAAACACGTTAGGAGGTGGCACACATGAATAATTATAATCAGAAATGTTTTCCTCAAAAATGTCATATATATTTGTAAAAAAGGTAAACTGTGAATTCACTATTCACAGCTATAACAACTTCCAAAATAATCAAAACATGCACAGCATGTGTGCAAACAGGCACTCTCTACAAGACATTCAATTTCTCATATGTTACAGAGCACTTTTTGAAGGTTATTGTAGTATTACTTGTCTGATTTTATAGTTATCAACCTGATTTTATAAGAATACTCTTACGATAGAAGAAGCACCCTGCCAAACAGACTTCTTTTTCTGAGAGAGATTTTACTTACGCAACTCTTAGAGTCTCCAGTCGCCAAAGGGAACGAGCGTGAATGGACACGGCCCCACCTTCGTAATGGACAGTTCTGAAAAGCAAGCACAGGCTCAGCTGGAAGGATTCATCACATTTGTTTGCTCGTTCAACTACACCTCTCATTTTAAGACCACCAAAGCAAATATTGCAACTGTCAGACTTAAAGGTTATCATATTCAAAACCAGTTCTTATCAATTAAACCTTCAGACCTAGTTGCCCAAATAAATTTGATTTTAATTAACTTTAGCATCCATCATTGTTGTATTCATAACAATGAGATTTACACAGTGTTTGCTCAGACATCTCTCACAGTGTTTTAAGGATAGGGAATGCAGCAACAAAAAAAGCAATAACATGATAATTCTAATATTTCTAGGTTCTAACAAAAAAAACCAACCAAGTATCAGATGATGATAAAGATCTGTGAGCCCTGCATGCTTCTAACAAAAAAGGTAGTGTTTTCTCAGAGCTTATACTATTAAAGTAACAATTAAACTTATTACGTTGCGTTATGATGAGTCACCTATTTGGCACTGCATTTTATCGTCATAGCACCTGAAGTTTCTCCGCCATACTGACCCAGTCTTCACACAGCTCATATGTTAACAGCTTCCTATTTTCAAATTTTAATATGTAATGACTGCTCTCTAACTCTTCCATATATCCAGAAATCTGAGTGCTTCTAAAAAATAGTCAATTAAGCCAAAAATAGGTTGGGTTTTTTTTCCCTCCTTTATTCTAAGCACAGAGAAATGATATATTGGATCCAGCAAATGGTTTCCATTTTATGGTCACAAAAAGCCCCAAATTAGGTAACCTGCGTCTCTTCATAGCAAACCCTGAGGATTGTGGTGAGTATTCAGCACTGCCACTCCGAGTAACATGCACTGCCAAAAATAGCCAGAGGCATAACCACAAGGAATATTTATATTGAAACTGTGGATATTTCCCATTGTTTGTTAGAAGCAATTTTTTGAGGACCACAATTTTACAATCAAGGGCCTAGCATTTACTAGGCTTTAGAAGCTAAAGCCTTCCTATGGATGTAATCCAGAGGGACAGAATGCTTAGTAAAGAAAATAATGCAGCACTGAAAGAGATGGTTCAAACCCAAAAGAAATGGTGAGTTAGAATATACTTCTCAGTACCATTAACAACGGATGGAACTACTGACATGCTAAAATTAATCTTTGAATATGCTAAAAAGTACTAAGGAAATAACCACTCCCAGACATTGCGAATGAATGAAGACAAATTATACAGGGGGGGGAAATGAGTCAAAATACAAAATAAATGTTCCTTACTACCATTACAGAACCACTCATACTGAATATTCATGACCAATGTCGAAATAGCAACTCTGGCACATGCTCCATGTACCAAAAAGAAGTCACAGGTGCATATATAAACATGTACAAAATCCTCCCCTTGCCCTCATACCCAGTATTTCCATGCATTACCTCAGACATTTGCAGCAATGGCTGTGGTGCCAGGAGCAGCGGACAGGTATTAGTACGGTATTAGTAAGTCTCTCATCTCTCTCACAGAATGAATGAAATTCAAAGTCAATCTTACTTTTTATTGAAACTGACTTTCATTAGTGTAGTAAAATGCAAATGCTGTACAATCTCTCTCTTCTGTTCAGTCATTAGTCCAAAGTTTTGTTCTGCAGTGAACAATCTGGGTTTGTGTTGTAACATCTGAACAAGAACAGATCAGATGTGCCCCTGGGTGGATGGGTTCAGGGTTTGGGAGGATTGAAGAGGGTGGTGGGGGGTTTTTTTTAAGTTGAAACATTCTGATTACATCCTAGCTTATTTCAGCATGAACATCACCGACAAAAAAGCATTTGGAATTCTTGCACTCCCATAATACAAAATTTAACTTCCATGGCAGAATTGTCTCTTATGTGACTGTCCAGCCATTCTTGCCTTCCTCTGCTCTTTCAAATGGGAACTGTCAGTCTTGGAATGGCCATGTAAGGTGGGAAAATGGGAAAGAGAGAGAAGGGAAGAAATCCTAACTAAAAAAGTGCTGTTTGATTACCAAAGGAAATAAAAACAATCCTGAGATTGTCACTTTATTTCCACATGAATGAAGGGTGCAGCAGCAACAGAGGGAGGAAAGACAGCAAGGCAGTAATAGGCACTTTAGGGGTAAAAGTCAAAACGGCTGCAGCAAAGCCTCAGCCAGAGCACAAGTGACAGCAGTCCATGGGGAACAGAGACAGAGCGGGGACTGGAGGGCTCAGGATCATGCAGGGAAGCAAGGGGAGAAGCATACAGACTGAAGTCAAAGATGGAGCAGGAAGGCATTGTGTGGGCAGGAAAGACTACGCACGCTACAAAAAACAAACTTGGCACAAGCACTAGAACAGGGTGTAAGTCTTTGCGTCTTTAGCTAGATATCATCTTCTCTACAGAAAAGACAGTAAAGAAAAGGCGGTTTGAATAAAAGATCTCTCTCCTTATTTGAAGGGCAACTCACTTTGTATGCCTTTACGCATACTAACCACTGCCCCAGAGCAGCTGCATTCATTCATAACCTCCATCATTGCGTCTGTTTTTACTCTAAGAAGTATAAAGCTTATTTTTAGTCCCTTTCATTAAAATAAATGTAGTAAAGTGCTCTGAGATTGCTCAAACCAACTTCCTTAGTACTTGTTTCTATATAAAACCGCTATTTGATAGGATGCATCTCATTTCGTTTTATATACTCTTGACAACAGTTCAGTGCTGAAAAGGAAGTGATTCCCAACATGCTAACCCTTCCCAACCTGATAAGTCATGTCAGACAGCAGCATTACTAGGTTAAAAGAAACACTGCTTTCAATGACATGCGAATAATCCACAAAAATTCTCCAACTGTTAAGAGTTCCTACAGATTTACCCTGATAGGATGGAACAAATAAAATTTCAAGTTGTGAGATGCACAGAAGATGCGCATTACTTGCCAAACAGTAGAGAAAACCTGCACATTACAAAACCTTGTTACGAACTTACAAGCAATATAAATGCACTAGGAAAGTATAAAAAACAGCAGAAAAAGAGAGGACAACAAGAGCCGCAATGAGTGTGAGTCTTCACCTAGAAAGTCTAGGATACCTTATACTTTCTGAGCAATACTCACAGCACTACTTTTTGATTTTTTTTCCTATTCTTTCCAAAGCACTTTATTTGCATATTCTACATTTCTAGAGTAAAGATATTAACCATTTTTATTTCAAATGAAAATATCTATAAGGAATTCTGAACCTTTGAGAATTTTCAGTTTTTCTTTACTTTAAACCTTATCTGGTTAATTAGTTGATGCAATGAAGTCATTTTTTGCTTCATCTCTAACTGCAAGTTACATTTAAACCACCATTCTTTTCCTGACTACTGTGTTAATCTGCTTAATTCCCCTTAATATAAACAGTCACCAGAGCTGGAACTTGCCACCTCATTTGTTTTACAACCCCATGGCCAGCTCCCTAGAGCTGCCTTGGGGGAGGCTGTGGTTGCTCCCTGCACTCTGGGATGGGATGGAGAGGCAGAACAATGGGAAACAGCAAAAAGCAAAGTCTGGCATCTAAATCTCTCATCTCGACTACAATAATGAATTAATTACACAGGTTTAAAATAGACAATCACGTCTCACAACCCCTGTAGAACCATTATTGAATTCATATTCTCATTAAAGTATTGTTGAGCAGAGAGAGGGCAATCATTTCCATGAAATCCACTGACTACAAACGGGCAGTAAATTACATTGAATGGCAGTGTTTCAATATTGCTGGAGCAGTCTTGGTTCAAGAACTGTAAATCCTGAGTTCCATAGCAAGGAAATAATGGAGTAAAACTCACTGAGTTGGAATGAACCAGGGCACCGTAAATATGGCATAAATAACGTAATATTGTACCTGGTTTATACACAGTGAATAAAGCCAAGTAAGACATCAAAGTTCAAGTTAAGGAAACTGTTTCACTCCCTTCAATGACAGGCAGTGCTGTAATGTTTGGAATTTGAAAAATCAGCCACTGAGGAGGTCTATAGAGTTTTTTCAGACTAATTTGTAAAAGCACAATCATTACTATTCAATGCTCTTGGGTTGCTTTAGGAGTGGGGGAGAGTTTATTGATTTATACTGGGTGAAAACTGTCTGAGTTTACTTTTCAGTCATAAATAACCCCTCACATGCACCAAATTCCAGGCTTTCTAGGGTACCACAGCCTTCACCAGCTCCAAATGTCCAAACAAAGCGTGTCTTTTACCCGTCTAAAGGAAACAGCATGGAAAGGAAAGTGAAAAGGAGTTGACACTGGCTAGGTCACTTTGATTTAAACTGTCATCACTCGACAATCATGTTTATCCACTTCTGAGACTAACACAACATGTTCAATATAATTTACAAAAGACCTAACTCAATATGTTTCACCCAAAGAAACCCTCCAAGGCAGGAATGACAACTGCTGCTGGAAGTGGGCTACGCATATCCGTTCCCTCACGAAGGGCTACTCTGACTGGATAGTTTGTGAAACTGGAGTCTGCTTCGCCTCAAGTAATACTCTGCAAAAGCCAGGAGCACTTTGCTTTCTCTCACAAGTAATTTTTTTCTGTAATGATGTATTTCTGAAGGGTCCAAATTGCACTGCAGTCATCACTGTAAAATATATGTTGCAAATAAAAATGTAAATTGGTTGCAATGAGAACATCCAGGCCCCCTTCTGCACTGAAAACCATGAGCACTCCCAGCCCTACTACTGTGAGGACTTTAAGTTCTAGAAGAATATGGATGATGGTGGTATAATAAAGAGCAAGCATCACAACTCAATCAAAAAAACCCAAATAATGTTGATTACATACTTCCACTGCTACCTGCCATTAGGTTTTGGGGACAACTGAAGGACCACATGGAGGGATGCATGAGCTCAAAAATGAACCAAAGAAACACAGTATACATATAGAAAAAACTGTGAGACAAAGGGAATTTTATAAGCTTTTTATATGACTATTTCTGCCACTGCACTAGGCCTCTTCCAGTGTGAATGCAGATGCCTGGAAGGAAGCTGTGTTAGGTACCATAATTCATGGACACAGCATCTGCACCGTCACCATACCAAGGGGTCTCCACTGGGCTGAATGCTGCTGCACAAGAGTATACACAGCTGGAGAACATGTCGTTTAGTTTGGACTTCTGGTAGTCTTTGAAATGCTTTGATACTTAAATTTATGTAACTGTATCAATGCTCTAAGAATAGAGAAAACCAGCACGTATTTTTAGAAACTGCCTAGAAGGATCCTTCTCATCAAAACAATTTAGTCATTCCCAGGATTAGATACCAGGTGACATTAGAGAATAAATCTGTTATTTTAGGACTGTCTGATCTTTTATTTAATTGAAAAACCATAAAGAGGCCTTTGCAGAAAAATAAAAATGTGATAGAGGAATTAGTGAGTCACAACCGAGATGGAGCTGCAAACAAACCAAGCCCAACCATCATAGGCTGTCACTAGGCTATTTCAAAAGGCAATGAAAGGAGAGAGAGAGCATGGAATTATTACACTCTGAACTTCACCATGCTTTCTGTGCAAAACTTCACTTAAAATGAAACATAAAATAATTTATCTTACACTTTCCTACCTACCATATTTTTTAAATATAATTCAATCAGCAGTTAAATACCATCCAACAAAATAAGGTATGCATACATATTGAAGGAGTCAAAAATTATCCTTTTAGATGCTGTTTCAAATAGGCAATAATCCTAATTCGAGATGGAAATATAGAGGTTTTAAGCAATAACTATATTTATTAATCATTTAAGAGGAGAAAGTCTGGGGCACAAAGCAATTATAAGGAACTCCATAAAACTATAAGTAATCATAGATTATATTCTAGGTTTGTAAGAAAAAAATAATTTTTAAAATTTCAGAAAAGCAAGAGAACTCCAGAACAGTAGAATATGAAAAAAACCCCACCTTATTTTTATTCTGCTTGTTTATTAAAGAAAGGTCCTGAACAACAAGACAATTTCAGAAGATCAAATCCGATTTTTACAAAGCACTGGGAAGCAATGTTTCTCACTATTGCTCTCAGGAAATATAAATACATTGGTACAATTTGCTCTCTACCAGCTCTGCTGCTCTGGGGGTAGCAGACAGAGAGGGGAAAAGGCAGATGCTGCAGAAAGAATAACAACCTGGCTTGCCTACGGCAGCTCAGGAAAGGACCCTGTTCTTCCCCTGTCACTCCCCTTGAGAAGTTTTGTGAAAAATACATCAGGAAAGAAACCACCACACTTTATTTAAAGTGGTTTTAAGTCTGTAAAGGTGACAATAAGTTATCAAAAATCACTATTGCTTTTATACCTGGTAAGTGAAATCAGACTTGAACAATCTCAACAAGGAAGTTCATCACACCAATCTTCCTTCTTGTGAGCAATACAGCTCATCCCAGGATACTGCAAAAATCTGTGCTATCAGGGACACTTCATGCTGATTCAGCACCATTTGCTATTATTCTATTATTCGCTATTGTATATTATTATATATACTCCTACCTCCTTTGTTCCTCTCCATGCTCACCCGAGGGGACAGTCAAACACTCGTCCATGTGCCCATGCAGCAGCCTCAGCACATCTCCTCCGATCAGATAGCCTGCAACAAAGGGAGAGAATCACCTGCACTGGTCTGCACGCAGCAACATGGAAAACTATAGTTCCAACCTGTCCTGGTTTTGCTAGGGATTGAATTGTAGAATTCCCTTTAAATGACAGCTGCAGTGTTTGAGCTTTAATGAACAGAAGTTGATAGTGGAATATTGACTGGGATGGAGTTGTTTTCCTTATGAAACTGATAAGTTCTTTTTATTTTTTGTTCTTGCTGGCAGTTATTTACGTTTTTCAGGGTTTCGCCTGCACCTGCAGTTTCTTTTCGTTTTGTTTTTTTTTATCCTTTTCTCTGCAGGAGAGGTATTTTTGTCATTGTTTTTAAAGCGCCCCCCCACCCCCACCCACGTCACAGTACAGAATTAGTAGTTACTTGATCTGACTCTAAAGCTCTGTTTTGACTTAAACAATAAACTGACTTCTACATGAGCCAGTTTTGCAGAAATGCATGTAAAAAGAAATACTTTTTCTTTTAACTACCTCCCTCCAATATCCTAGTTCATTTTACAGACTATCCATTATTTTCACTTCAAAGCAATTTCATTCAACTGAATTATTTCACTTATTAATCTATTTTTAGTGGGAAGTTTTGATTAAGCAATGGCATTGTAGTGTGGTTATTCCTATACATCAACATTTTGTTTACGAAGATGACAACACAGTTTGCAGATACTAACAAAACTAGCTTTATTTTCCTCTTCCCTCTTTTTAAGGTGACTTTCTCCAGCTTGGGCTGAGTTTTGCTGAGGCATACAGGGTAAGGTCTCACACACTATGTGTCAGATTTGCTCTCCCTTCACAACCAGACAGCTCTGATTACAGGAGAACCTGCGCGTTTTGTTAGAATGAGGCCTTTCCTCTAATTCCTTCTGACACCATCCAGCTGATCTTCTCTAGAACAGATACAGCTTAAAGGTAATTAATGTCTATCCTGGAGAAAAATGAAAATGAAAAGGTAGAGCAACACAGAACAAGTGAATATGCCAAGAAATGCAAAGCTGCTAAAACCATATTGCATCATTTGCACACCATTTCCTGTGGGTATGAGCGCATAACACAACACCGTGCTCCACCACTGCGGACTTCTGCTTCCCAACCAGCCAGGCAGGGCTCATGAGTGAGGTCCAGCAACCAGAGAGATGGGCCCCAGCACAAATGTGTGTCTCAGCTAATGAAATGTACTGGGATTACTAACATGAATGCTACCCAGAGCTGCCTGCAGCAGGACAACAAGGAGAATGGAGTTCATCGAAAGAGGTAGCAGGTTGGAGAGGAGAAGGTTTTCTCCTCTTATCAACAGAAAGGTTTTCTCCATAACATTTAGGACACTGTCAGGCAACGCACTAGCATTTTTTTTTAATAACAGATTGCAACAGAAATCACATCAGCCAACCTGAATGTGCAGAATGGTTCTCACAGGCTGAAACCCCAGTGAGTCTGCGGAAAGGAGGCGCTGGCCATGCTGCCCCTCAAATCAGAATGAGCAAAGCTGCAAGAGCATTCCACAGCCGTGCTTTAAAATACACCAGGAAAAAAGAACTGATATGGAATTTCAGTGTATTGTCTTTTCAAAAAAGAGTACCCAAAAATTCCAGGAAGTAAGAAAGGACAGTCTTGCAGCTTTAACCTTTTTATGGTGCTATTGCAAAATCTACTCAAAACAGTGATTCTGTAGGGAACTAGAAGTCATTGGTCTTTACATCCTGACAAACTTTTCTGAAATGATGACTTCTTTCTTCTCTGTGGAATGAGCAAAACATAAATTCAGGGATCCTTGACCTTTCCTATCAGAAGTCGCATTAAAAAAAACCCCCACTTTCCAATTTCTAAATAAAATAAACAGAATTTGACAGTTCTTCTATCTTCTTTCTGTATTCCCCCTAATTTTGTTTTTCTTCCCAATCATATGCTCTCAACAAAATCATTCCCACTTGTAACTCCTTCGATTTCACATCCTGCTTCCAGTCCTCTTGCACAACATTTTTTACTCAGTCTCAGCAATAAGTAAGTAACCATGATTGCATACATCAGAATAATCTGAGATAATTTAAACCAGGACCAAAAGCCATTTTAGAAACATTATCACCCCTTTAGCAAAATGAAATTTGAATGAGCTGTTCAGCATTTAAAAAAAAAAACAACAAAAAAACCCCTAAAACTTAGAAAACCATCAGTGTCCCTTTCAGCATAATTTTCCTGTGCACTTTTCAGAATATTTATGTATTTATTTACTGGATTGGATGTTTACATAAGAGAAACCCACTCCTGTACTTCAGGCACACTTGGCAAAATAATTTGACTTTTCAGATATTTCATTAGTCTTTCAATAATTAAAGGTGACTCAATCTTACCTTGGGCAGCTTCACTTCCTGAACTAATTGGTGCTACACTCCAGAGCGTCTGCTGGAATGCTGCATCAACATGTAAGCTGCCATTGCCATAAGAGAGATGCTAAAACCAGGAAAGAGAGAGGTTTTTATTTGGGATTAATTAAAAATCTCATTACAGAACACAACAATAATATCAAACATTATCTTGGTTCTTCTTAAATTATTCATATTGACTGTATGAGTAAACACAAAATCAGACCTGACTACTTCTCAAGGGACCTTAAAAATAAAGCTAGAATAATAACAGCATATTTGCCCCAAAGAGCCATAGCTAAACGGCACAGAACAGTCAGCTGTTCGGGGTCTTACACCACAGTAAATATTCTGAAGAAATTATTATGAAATGCTGTGAGGGT